TTAATTAATCATTTAATAATTCAATAAAAATAATAATTATAATAGTGTTAAAAATTTCAATAAATATAAATTAATAAAAGTGTAAATAAAAAATATGTATTTTATTTTAAAAAAAGCGTGGGGTGCTTTTTAAGATATTATTAAAATGATAATCACTCTACTCATATCTGTCAGTAAAATATTTATAACTATTGACACCATGCACCCCAAGCTTTTTTTTAAAATAAAATACATTTTTTTTATTTACACTATTATTTATTTATATTTATTGAAATTTTTAACACTATCTATTCTTAATTTAAATTTATTTTCTATTTTTTAGTTTGGTTTTCTATAAAAAGCGTGTTTTTAGTTTTTTTAAACTATTATTTATTTTTTACTTTTTAGTTTGGTTTATTTATAAAAGCGTGATTTTTTAGTTTTTTTAAACTATTATTTATTTTTTACTTTTTAGTTTGGTTTATTTATAAAAGCGTGATTTTTTAGTTTTTTTAAACTATTATTTATTTTTTACTTTTTAGTTTGGTTTATTTATAAAAGCGTGATTTTTTAGTTTTTTTAAACTATTATTTATTTTTTACTTTTTAGTTTGGTTTATTTATAAAAGCGTGATTTTTTAGTTTTTTTAAACTATTATTTATTTTTTACTTTTTAGTTTGGTTTATTTATAAAAGCGTGATTTTTTAGTTTTTTTAAACTATTATTTATTTTTTACTTTTTAGTTTGGTTTATTTATAAAAGCGTGATTTTTTAGTTTTTTTAAACTATTATTTATTTTTTACTTTTTAGTTTGGTTTATTTATAAAAGCGTGATTTTTTAGTTTTTTTAAACTATTATTTGTTTTGTAGAATTAAAATTCTCCTTAGTATTCGAAAATTTGTCAATATTAGAGAAATTGGCTAAAGATAATTATTGGAAATTATAATTAACATCAAGTCCTGTCTTATAGACTGTAGAGAAAAATTATAAAAAATATTAATTATAAAATTAAGTTTCTTACCTTATCGAATATAGATGAAAATTATATAAATTAACAAAAAAATCATATTTTGCAAATTGAAAAATGGAATAATTTTATCAAATTAGTGTATTGTCATCGGTCCTCGATAAATCTACAAAGTTTGAATGAAATCTGGCCGTTTAAAGTGGGTCAAAATCGCGCCCAAAGAAGTCGGTTACAAACATACAAACATACAGGTGAAGCTAATAAAAAGCGTGTAAAAATAAATTATTGCTTGCTTACCCTTAGCATCGATATGTTGTCAGTAATAAAATTAAAATTATTATTTATTTATTTCAATGACTCATGGTATTTACATTATTTTAAGGGAAATAAGAGATGATGATGACATTGTAGCAACATTGAATTTAGCAAAATTAAATCAATCTCAAGTAAAGAAAATTTGTCAAGTCTTGGAATACCAGCATGGCGCTAGTGATATTAAATTGTTAGAATTGGATGATCACATGCTAGAAACTCTTGAGCAAGGAAAAACGTAAGTAAAATAATCATAATATCGTTAAGATGAAAAAAAAAAAAACAAAAATTTTTTACAATTTTTATTTTAGTTTATTTTTCAAAGGAGAAAAAAACGATGCTGTACTTTTGTGTACTGACACTCGTACGTACAAAATTGAAGAAGCTGAAACATCGAATTCTTTGTTACTATGCCCAAATTTAAAGTTTGCAAAAGATGTTCCGAAGTCTGCTGGAGACAAGATAGAAATAGAAAAAATTCCTACGCGAGGGATTTTTCACAATTATTTTGAGGTAATATTTATAATTAATTTATGATGAAATTTTTTTATTAATTTAAAAATATAAATCTATTTTATTAAGAAAATGAGACAAATTTTGTCTCCAAGATAGTCATATGATAAAATTAGTTTTTTTTTGTGAAATTTAGTGTTATTGCAAAGAACTTGAATTGAATTTGTGCCTTTTCAAGGTTTCATATTATTCTTGCCGATATTCAATTTAAGATGATAAGTATTTAGGTTGCATTCGAAAATTCTCTATCTCTAGATACATAATTAAGAAATGACCTTGTATCTTATGAAATATTGACATTTTTAAAGATATAAGCTCATCCTGATGGTACACTCATCGAGACCTTTCATTTGAGTACCCACATCAATTTTTCATATATTTATATATATTATATTTATGTATATATGAAAAATATATCAAAAATGCAAGTGGGTACTCTAATGAAAGCGCTTGATGAGTGTAACATCGGGATGAGCTTATATCTTTAAAAACATCAATAGTTAAAAAGGTACAGTGCAATTTCACAAATAGCTTGTGAACTATTGACATTTTTATAGGTATAAGCGCACCTCGACATTACATTCATCGAGACCTTATATATTTTTCATATATACATATATATAATATATATAAAATATATGCTTGATGCACTCACCAGGAAGTGTAACATCAAGATGGCCTTATATCTTCAAAAATGTCAATAATTAAGAACTGACATTGTTTTCTTGTCAACTAATGATACTTTTAACGATATAAGCTCACCCCGACATTACACTCATCGAGACCTTTCATTTGAGTACCCACATCAATTTTTCATATATTTTATATATTTATATATATTATATATATAAATATATGAAAAATATATCAAAAATGCATGTGGGTACTCAAATGAAAGCTCTTGATGAGTGTAACATCGAGATGAGCTTATATCTTTAAAAATTTCAACATTTAATAAATTACAATGCAATTTAACAGAATTCATTATTTAATAAAACAAAATTTTATTTATTTATATTTCACAGATCAGGGCAGTCACATAGTGACTGCAAGGTTGCTAGATTTAATAAATCAATTATTGCTTTCAGAGTTCAATTTGTAAACCAGAAATCAGCAAATTAATTTATTTATTGGAGCCTTCGTCTTTCAAGGGACCAGAGTATGAAAAGTACATTGAAAGAGATACACTTTATGATTGGGATAGACTTTTCAGCAGTATTCAAGCGAGTGAAAAAGAATTGAAACACGCGATAACTCAATTTTCTATTTCAATACTTGATGGTATTTTTTAAAGACTGACATAATTAATTATATATTTGTAAAATAGTAAATTTATTTATTTTTTTTTATTTTTATTTTTAGGCTACTATAGATTAATTTCATTCGAATTTGAAAGCAAAGCCCTGACACTGATGCTAGATTTTATGGAAGAAAATTCTTGGAAAATAAATTCAGTAAATAAAGAAGAAACTTATGAGGCTTTGCAAGATTTAATACCAAGACCAATATTTGATACTATTTTTGATAAATATGCTGTAAAAAATAGTGACGATGATTTGTATACTTATGATGAGGAAAATGTGTGCAGACGTTTGGCTGAAGTTTTACTGGCTAGCTCACCTGTTAATGACTATGATCGGTTTATGGAAGCTTGGAAATTGGCAACTCCTGATAGTAAATTATTTTTTAAATAATTATAATTATTTATAAATTATGATTATTGAATTTTATATAATTAAATTTATTTGTTTTTATAGGTATTAATCCGAAATTAGAATACTTATATGGTACTGCAGTTATTGTGTGGAATGCTGAAAAACAGAGAAAAGATATTGTATCGTTTCCTGAATCAAAACTTTCAAGCGACGTAGTAAAAAGATTTAAAGAGTTGTTTGAAGTTAAAAATAAATGGACTGCTGAAGAAATCAAGCCTTATTTATTGTAAGTTTTTTTGAATTTTTCACTAATGTGTGCTGAGAAAAAAAATTTATTAAAATAAAAAAAAATGGGCATTGTGACAAGAAATTAATTTGTTAAAAATTTTCATTTATTAGCTGATGAAATATAAATTTTTCTTACATAAAAAAGATTATTATAAAAAAAATTTTTATTTCTTTACATTGCTTATTTTTTTCAAAATAATATTTTTTTTTTCTCAGTGTATTAAATAGTAATATTAATTAATAGGACCTCGGTTTTAAAAATTAAAAGACATTTAAAATCAAACATTAATATGTTTTAAAAATTTTTTTAAAATAGACTTGAAGGTTTCTAATTTATTAAAGTTAATTTAACTTAAGTTCTATTATACTACCTTAGTTTTTACCAATTAAATAATTTTTGTAAATATATTTTTTATTCTATTTTTAGAAATATGTCATCTGCCAACCTCAGCGTTGACTTCTTACTGACTAAACACACTCGATCATCAATGGTCAAAGGAATTAAATATTATAGTTCAAAATATAAATAAGTAAATATAAATAAAAATTTTGTATATTTATATTAAAAAGAAAACAAAAGTTAATTTTTCGTAAATAAATTTTTTACATTGTGATAATTAAATTAAAACCATTTTATAGTTTATAAATATTTATAAAAAAAAAAGAAATAATTTTTTAATAGATTTATTTTTAAATGTCCTGATTTCAGAGGTAATAAATAAAATTGAATAATTAAAGACAATTTAAATAATGCAAAGTGTAATAACGATATAAATTTATATTAATGAGTCATATATTTATTAATATAAATTTTTATGATACTAAAATTAGCTGACGTTGAAAAATTTTTGACTTTTTTTATTAATTAAATTAGAACTACCAACCTTGCGGTCACTATGTGACTGCCGTGACTTGTGAACTGTAAAAAATTAGAATTTTGCTTTGTTAAATAATGAATTAAATAGTTAAATTGCACTGTAATTTCTTAACTATTGACGTTTTTAAAGATATAAGCTCATCCTGATGGTACACTCATCAAGAGCTCTCATTTGAGTACCCACATGCATTTTGATATATTTTTCATATACACATATATATATACATATATATGATATATATAATATATGATAAATATATAAAAAATTGATGTGGGTACTCAAATGAGAGGTCTCGATGAGTGTAACATCGGGATGAGCTTATATCTTTATAAATGTCAATAGTTGACAAGATACGAGGTCAGTTCTTAATTATTGACATTTTTAAAGATATAAGCTCATCCTGATGTTACACTCATCAAGAGCTTTCATTTGAGTACCCACTTGCATTTTTGATATATTTTTCATATATAAATATATATAATATATATAAATATATAAAATATATGAAAAATTGATGTGGGTACTCAAATGAAAGGTCTCGACGAGTGTAACATCGGGATGAGCTTATATCTTTAAAAAAGTCAATATTTCACAAGATACAAGGATATTTCTTAATTATGTATCTAGAGATAGAACATTTTCGAATGCAACCTAAATACTTATCATAATAAATTGACTATCTGTGAAAATGAATTGAAACCTTTTTAATAATCTTTCTATAAAATAAAATTTTCAGATGTCAGCTAATTAATTTTCATTAAATATTTTGGCTTATTTAAATGATAAAATAAATGTTGACATTGTTAATAATATCTATGAGAGTGACAGATAGTATTGAATAAATGTTAAGATATAGTCGGGTGCATTAATGTATTACAGTCAGACGGACAGAGTTAATAATTTAAAATATGTCCATCTGTGACTCATAAATATTGTATAATTTTATGAGCAGTTGGTTTAAACGTTACTATGTTGTGTGGAGTGACGGTATGTAGTTCGTAGTATATAGATATATACAAGATATATAATATATACAAGTGTGTGAGAGATTCAAAATTACCATCAGCTGAATATTAATCATATTCTCTTTACGTCTCTCTACCCTTCTGTATTCCCTTCTAGCCCCCCGGCAGTATACGCCAACGTCTATTTTATATATCCTCTAGACTCTTACATATTTATGTGATTCCCAATTATTCCGCACTTGTAAGTTAATTTATATTATTTTCATGCCTATCCGATATAAATAATAGCTTAATTAACATGACTAATAATTAGTTGTTGTTGTTGGAGTAAGTGTGTTCAGATAATGTGAAAAACATAATTTTATACATCGGTTGGCTGATATAGAAAATTTAACAAAGAACAAATATAAATAATGGATTTTTAAATAATAGTTGTAGCGGGACTTTTTTTTTTTAAAGATATTTCTTGGAAAGTTACAATTTTAAACTCATGCAAATACTACGTAATTATGAAATTTTTTTATTCAATGAAACAGTTATCTAGTTTTTGATGTACTTATCTTTGGACAAGATAAAGAATCATTTTAAGTACAGAAAAATATCATTAGTTGACAACATACAATGTAATTTCTTAATTATTGATATTTTTAAAGATATAAGCTCATTTCCATGTTACACTCATCGAGACCTTTCATTAGAGTACCCACGTCAATTTTTCATATATTTTATATATATGTGATATATATGATATTTGTAAAATATAAGAAATATATAAAAAATCCATGTGGGTACTCAAATGAAAGGTCTCGAGGAGTGTAACATAGAAATGAGTTTATATCTTTAAAAATGTCAATACTTAAGAAATTGTATTGTATCTTGGTCCCACATGGGATTTTTAAAGATATAAGCTCATCTTGATATTGCACTCATCGAGACCTTTCGTTTGAGTACCCACATGAATTTTTCATATATTTGATATATTTTATATATTTCACAAATACTATATATATAAAATATATCAAAAATGCATGTGGGTACTCAAATGAAAGGTCTTGATGAGTGTAACATCAGAATAAGCTTATATCTTTAAAAATATCATTAGTTTACTAGTTACAATGTTGTTTCTTAATTATTGACATTTTTCGAGACCTTTCATTTGAGTACCCTCATCACTTTCTTATATATTTTATATATTTCACAAATATCATATATGTCACATATATGAAATATATGAAAAATTGATGTGGATACTTAAATAAAAGATCTCGATGAGTGTAATATCGAAATGAGCTTATATCGTTAAAAATATCATTAGGTGATGAAATACAATGTCATTTCTTAATTATTGACATTTTCAAAGATATAAGCTCACCCTGATGTTACACTTATCGAGACCTTTTATTTGAGTACCCACATGAAGTTTTTTATATATTTTATATATATATGATATTTCTGATATTTGTGATATATATAAAAATATTGAAAAATTCATGTGGGTACTCAAATGAAAGGTCTTGATGAGTGTAACATCAGAATAAGCTTATATCTTTAAAAATATCATTAGTTTACTAGTTACAATGTTGTTTCTTAATTATTGACATTTTTCGAGACCTTTCATTTGAGTACCCTCATCACTTTCTTATATATTTTATATATTTCACAAATACTATATATATAAAATATATCAAAAATGCATGTGGGTACTCAAATGAAAGGTCTTGATGAGTGTAACATCAGAATAAGCTTATATCTTTAAAAATATCATTAGTTTACTAGTTACAATGTTGTTTCTTAATTATTGACATTTTTCGAGACCTTTCATTTGAGTACCCTCATCACTTTCTTATATATTTTATATATTTCACAAATACTATATATATAAAATATATCAAAAATGCATGTGGGTACTCAAATGAAAGCTCTTGATGAGTGTAACATC